GGGGGGGGGGTGAAACTACCCCAGCTGTTCAGCTAAACTCAATCTTCTCTCCAAAAACGGAACCCAAGAGAAAATCCTGAAAAAAACCCTGATTGGTATCAATTTACATTTGTATATTTAAACGTCATATCAAGCTTCCCCAAGCACTGGAGTTATTTCAAGAAGGGCAAAGACGATCAATGGATCAATGTGTCACGACTGCGGGAAAAGCTGTAAAGTAAAATGTGTTTGGTAAGGTGTGAATAAGTTGTCATTTCGCTTGTCAAAAAGTGAACTTTTAGAACATAAAAACATTGGACATTGTAGTTTATCCGGTGAAATAGGACAATATGTAAAACAACTCTCTTATTATATCGCAGCTGTTTGGCATCACTTGAAAACAGAAAATTTGCTTAAAATTATGCAATATACAAATATCGATATATTGCGATTATTTTTTCTGGTATCAGTTTTCAGGGTTTTTTAATAACCACAACAGCCTAAGTTTACATCAACGTTTACTGTTATATGTCAAGCAATACAGACAAATATCGTAAGATGTAAATTCTCTTCACAGTGTTTACAGGCAATTTTCTCAGTGGCAGAAAACTTGGTATCACACAATGTTTATGGAATAAAGGAGGCAGATGGGGGCAACATATATTAATCCTAACCCTAACTCTTGTTGAGGTCCGCTACATTCTAGCCAAATAAAGTATACTACGATTGAAGGCTATAAATCAATATGAGGTGAAAACAATATTAAACATTCCAGAGATCTACAAGTTTTTTTTCCATATCTATTGGTTTGCCTATCTTGATCAGTGAATAGTTGAGAAGTAATAAATATTTAACAGTAGTAATTTACATTCCTACATAAAATCTGTCTGGCTGTCTGAGCTCAGGGTAAACCCAGGAATTATTATTATTACCCTTATCAGTGCCCATGTGGTATTCTGTTGTCAAGTTGTGGTTTTGAACCCTGGCAGTTCAGATGTAGAAAACTATGTCTACTGCAACAGAACATAAACAAATGTGCAATGTGCACAACTATTTTTATATCCTATACTAAGTTAATAGCATAAAGGTACTTCAAAGATTATTCCAATAAATCGAATGTAAATATATACAAACACTCAATTAGGGGGAATTCTAAATTGCTTGGAACTTCCAGTTTAATTTAATACTAGTGAAAAAATAAAAAATATTGTCCAATTCTGAAATTAAATCCCAATTTCTTTAAACGATTTTTGTCAGATATCAGAAAACTCTATAAAGTTTGTATATACACTTCTACAACTTGCTGTTCTTAATATAAATACAAGCTAGAGAGCAATATGGAATAATAAATATAGGGATAAATTTAAGCAAATATCCACCCTGACATAGTACAACAACTGAGTCTAATTCATATCCCCAAGCATGGAATAACATGTGAGGCAAAGAGGATTAACCTAGACAGTATTAAAGGCAAGATCACCTAATACGGGGTGATGATAAATTTATGAATGGCCTATGTCTGGCATGATCTATGATTTTCAAACTCAAAACATCAAAAATCATACTAAAATAATGAAACTATCTTTTGGGAAATTATCAAAATTTATGTGATATCTAGCTAATTTTAAAAAAATCGTAGGATAAATTGAGTGAGAATTAACAGTAACACAAGACAATATTTCAAAAAAATTTACAATAAAATGTAGGATATTACTCATATTAGACGAACTGTCGAACTACGATATTCAGACAGTCTACACAGAATTTCACTTAAATACGGCAAATTCACTTCACATCGCTATTTAGTTTTAGTTTAAATATTTTTATACAATTAAAATATATTGGAGATAAAGCGTCGGGAATATAACTGATCAGCAATATTTTTCATTCCCTCCTTCAAGTGTAAAATCAATATGGCCGACTTGGCGGGAGAATTTACTGCAATAGCTTTCGACGTTCCGCTTCGTTTTTTAATATGTTTCATTTTTACAAAGCACCCAGCAACCTACAGTTTTATAATTTACAGATTTTGACAAGTTTTCCGAGGGGACCACTCGGATATTTCGCTCTAAAATAGATCAAGATTAATTTGCTAAAAGTGGCCTTCCTCACATCCGCGACACAACAACACTTTGCCGGTTATTCGAACTCGAAGGAGAAACATTTACTGTTTTATCTTCCAGCAAACACTTATTATTAAGACGAACAACTAATAGAAAGGCGAATTACGTCGAAAATGCGAAGTTGACAGTCATATAAAACAACCGGCACTTCGCAAACTCGATATTTGAGCCTGCATAGCGGAAACCCTCGCTCGGCAGCCAAATACAACATGATCGCCAGGCGAACAAACGAACACTCGAAGATATTTATTATAAATCTACCTTACCTTCTAGACTTTTAACGATGAAACAAGATTATTTGACTTTCCAATTCAAATCAATAAAAACTATCATTTTGTTCGTTTGTCAGACGTGTATTGTTCAGTTAATTTCCAAGTAGACAATCCTCAGAAGAAAAATTATTATGATCTCGTCAAAACAAAAATCGCGCGCCTTTGAGTTTGCCTTCGACTTTCAAATGCTCCCAGTATAAATTTAGGCCAGCAAAAACTAGTTCCACACTTGTCCAGAGTGTTGTTCTTGTAAATTAGCCACAAAATATCCACATGAAATTCCCTTGCCGATCGAGATCACGAGTTGTTTTAATACAACAACAAATGTTGCGAAGGTTTGAAGATACCCGCCATTGAACGTTTTGAAAATTAGTTCGAAAATATGCGAACGAAACACGACGATGACGAAGCGAGCGCGGTCACATGACGCCACGCGTTGTTGCCATAGGAACAGCCTCGCCAAAACCTACAGTAGGGAGAAGATTAATTTTCATCTTAAGATAATCGTTTCTCACAAAAGTGTACTTCAATGGCATAGTGGAACTTTGCAAATTTGAAAATCCATATGGCTCACTAATACAAAACTTCAATTAAATAATATATTTTATTCAATACATGCCTGGATTTATTTAATACATGCCCAAATTTGAATGTCGTTAATACAATGATAATATTTCTTATCATGGAAAATGCTTTCAGGAGCTGCAGCCCGCAATTGTGTGGAATGAGCAAATGGAAGTTCTAGTATAGATCTAGTACGAGATCATCCAGTGATGTCATAATTGGCGAAATACAGGCTTCTTTTTTCCTATCAGACCACTGCTTTGTTGAGTGTAGTTTGTCCTTGCCCCGTCCCAAATCCCAATCCTACACAGAAGAAACTTCAATTTCGTAATGAAATGAGACAAGTCAACATAGATGCTTTCAAATCTGACATTATTACATCTAATCTATGTAACGAAACTTGGGCTAATTTGAATGACCTGGTGCTAAGCTACGATGAAACCCTGTCTAATATTTTAGAGAAACATGCTCCTGTACACGGGTAATAATTGAGAGAACCAAGATACCGTGGTTCAATAATGAACTTAAACATCTGAAAGTAAGAAAATTAGAGAGAAAAATGTTAAAATCAAGCTGTGAATGTGACAGGAAACTGTATCGTGCTTCTTGCAATAAATATTCGGCTAAACAGGGCCGCCCAGAGGTTGGCGGGGGCCCGGGGCAAATTTTTTTTTAGGGGCCCCTATCTAAAAAAAATTTTCCCGGAAAAATTTTTTCCGGATAACAACCTTCCCCCCCCCCCCCCAAAAAAAAATTTTCGGTCAGTGTACCATTTTAGGGGTAAAAAATTTTTCCGGAGTACAAAATTTTGCCGGACGAGTACGTTGCAAATGCTTTCGAGGGACTTTATCTCATTTTTTATGCCAAAATTCGGTACTTAGCCCAAGAAAACAGATATCTTGTCCTTTGCGCGGAAATATTTAACACACAAAAAAGGCTGGGGCCCTACAAAAAATTTTCAGGGGCCCCCAGCAACTCGGGGTCCGGGGCAATTTGCTCCCTTTGCCCCCCCCCCCCCTCTGGGCGGCCCTGCAGCTAAATTGAAAAGTGCCAAACGACTATATTATTCTGAACTTATTGACCAGTGCTCGGGTGACTCAAGAAAACTTTTCAAAGTGATGCATGTCTACTCTTTCTAAAATTCGTAAGGAAAATCCCTGCCTCCACACACTGACTTAGGTCAACTTGCGAATGAGTTTGGAGAGTTTTTTCACCAAAACGGCGAAAGATCAAACTAGTAATAGACCTTTCCCCTTTTGAGTGAAATTTTGATCTAGACAAGTCAGGACAAAAATTTTATCACAGCTTGAAAGAGCATCACAAAATTAGTAATATTCCGAAGTTTCGTTGTGAAATGTTGTAAAATGCGGATAATATAGGCTTATATAGCCTTGCGAAGTTTGCCGTTTTTCAGTCATTTTGCATTTTACGGGAAATTGATAATCCCGAAATACTCCCTGCAATTGGTCAATCGGATCACATGTCAGTCCTGTTCAGTAATGTCTGCTGAGTAGCCACCGGCGCCCTAATACTATCACTAAAATCTGGGTCAGAAAGCGGAAACCATCAAATATGCAGGATTTTTTTTGGTCGATTCATTGTGGATCTCAATTGGAATGTACTTACTTACATACCTTCTTGTCAAAAAATGTGCGACTTGTTTTATGACATTATTCCCATATACGGGACTGGATACAATTCATCCCAAAAAAGCTGTTAAACTCCACCGTAGAGACAAAGCGTGGGTCACTCCTGAAATCTCGTAAAGCTTTTGCCTTGGGAAACACAACCGAATACAACAAAATAATAACAACCTTGGAAAACACAACCGAATACAACAAAATAAAGTAATTCACTGAATCAGGCCAAGTCTAAATACTTCAAGTCTCGATCAGGGGAATCATCTAAAAAAACTCAAGGCCCAGGAAATGGTGGAATGCTGAGGTCGAGCAGAGGTCGAGAGAACTACCTTGCAGGGAAAGGGATTGGCACTCGCTGAGGGAGTTTTCTAATATCTTAGAATCGGTTATTTTATTGAAGGAGTGCTCACTCGTCCTTGGGGATTTTAACATTCATGTTGGTGACACTGATGCTATGAAGTTCCTTGATTTGTTGGAATCACTTGGACTTGAGCAGTACGTTACTCAACCGACTCATATCCATGGTCACACCCTGGATCTTATTATCACACGCAAAAGGGACTCACTCATAAGGTCGCCGCGGTAGCTAGCAGTATTCGTATAGAGAGTCCTGTGCCCCAAACTAGAAGAGTCACTTATAATTACAGGAAAACTCAAGGGTGTGGAACTTAACTGCCTGAAGGCGGTTTTCCACTAGGCGAAATATTTCGACCGAATCGAAATTTTCTTTTGTCTTACAAGCACCCAACTAATCAGAATTCTTGTGAATTTGAACAATAGAAATTTCAGTTCGATCGAAAAATTTTGCCTAGTGGAAAACCGCCTTAAGGCAGGATTTGGTGGTGTCAGATTTGTGCAAGCGGGAACACGATGAGTTGTACTTGCTGGTATTTGTTGTACACACAAACAAACTGTAAAAATTAAATTTAAAAACAATTTCAACAAACTAATTTTAATTTTTTAACAAACTGGACGTTATCTCCTCTGAAAGACGCTTTTTTCGTCGTAATATATTTTTGCCATTTCTCCTTTCTGTTTTCTTTCTTTTCAACATACAATCGCTGCACTCGCGCCAGTCCGCGTCCTGCCGTATCACGCATGGATCGCTTATATGAGCGTGTCGTATACCCAGCGCGCTTACATGAGCCAGTGGCGTAGCCAGAATGATAATTGGGGGGGGGGCATATTCATATATTCGTGTTCACATACCATAAAAACAATTGATTTCAAAAGAAATTAATAAAGCAGAACACGAATATATGAATATGCCCCCCCCCCCCAATTCTCGTTGTGGCTACGCCACTGACATGAGCGTATACCCGCCCGTGTTTTAGAGAGCTCTCATGCATGGTACGAGATTGGACAGGCGAGAGTATAAACAATTTGGTTTTGTCTGACAGTTTGGCAAATGTCAGACTAGCCTGTGTGCAGCCTACATGACTTTTTGATGGGGAAGGGGGAAAAGACTGAAAGAATAAGTTTTCCCCCTTCCCATAAAAAAATCAGGCTGCACGCAGGCTAATGTCAGACTGGTGTAAACGTTTTCTACACACGAACAAAAGGCAGATAGTCGTCCGCACGGTGCGAAATGTTTATTAAACCCCTTTTTTTAAGCTTAAGTTTAAGGGTTTAAGTTTAAGTTATATGGTTTAGTTGGAGTATGGAGTATGTTGAAATACCATTCTACATTCTTTAAGCTTGCTGTCCACTACCTCGTAATTCTGCAACAAGCGGATAAGAAAAACGGCCATTTCCATTTCGATAAATCGTTTGCCAATGCACATGCGAGGCCCGAAGCCGGAAGGAAGTGATCGATGCGAATTAAGGATGGATATTTCTCATACAGTTGAGCTGCGAAACCAACGCTTGGGAGCAAACGTTGCGAAGTCGAGTCCATATGACTTCTCTTGAATGGCTTCTGTCGCTATCGTAGAAAGAAAAATCCGAAACCCCAGCTGGAATATGATACCCACTTTTAATTCTAGGAAAATGTAAGATATGCTCGTAAGTCGTAGTTTTTTTAATTATTTTAATGTACTGATTTTCTTTATGATCTCTCACAAATGCCATGGGAAAATATGGCACTTCATGACGATTAGTACGATCCAAACAGTTGTTATCGAGTATGGCGATCATATTACTTGCAAGTACTGGAAGTATTCGGACAGGGGTCGTGAATGAGCCGTTTGAACGCATTACCGGTTAAGATCAAGAAATGGGAGTGAAGAATTGTTTTCAAGCAAAATGAAAGATCAATGTGGTTTGAATCCCATATTTCTGATGGGGAACAAGTGTGTTTTGTCAATGGCATGACGTCAACACCCAAAAAGATAGTCTGTGGAGCCGGTCCCTCAGGGATCCATCTTAGGGCCATTATTGTTTTTACTTTAGATCAATGATCTGCCAGATAGTGCTTATATGTGCTTATATACCCCGTACTTACATATGCAGGTGATACACAGATATTTTCATCCGCTAATGATTCTGCGGAACTTATTTTCAACTTGAATAGCGATGGAGCAGGTACTTCTGATGGCCCCAAGCCACTCTTAAATATTTCCGGTTATATGCCTTCGCTCATAGCCTCACTTCCTTTAGAAGGTCTTAGAATCATAACACGTTCTTGACCTACGTATTTACTCGATTGAGCGCCGCCCCCGATTGAGCGCCGCCCCCGAATAAGCGCCGCATTTGAGATCATTTTTTTTTAAAGAGCGCCGCCCCCGAATGAGCGCCGCATCTGAAGCTCTGAAAATTTAAAGAGCGCCGCGGCGCTCAAACGAGTAAATACGGTATTCGAGAGTGACCCACGCCGTTTTGTGTGAATGCGGATAATTTCAAAACTAAGCGATGAAACGCAAATCCCAGCGGCAAATTTTTCCAAAATTTTATATTTTAGTGAGGCGGATATGTGTAAAATTATTGATCAGTAGTTCTCGTTGAGGTTAAAAGCATCAAACTTTTACAATTGATGTAGTTTTATTTGCTTAATAGATATTTGAAGTGGGGCCATCGCTATTTTGCTGCTAACTCCTGAAAACGGGTGATTAGTGATTTTTTCTTCTATTGAATTCTATTATAGCCAAAAAATGTGAAATTTTGTATTCAATGACTTGAATGACTATGTATCATCAGAAAGCTTATATAAAACTGCATATAAGACGTTTAGACAGTTTTTTGATTTCTGAAATAGTTTTCGAATTATAAACTGTTAAAAACGCATTTTCAAACATCGAATAATTATGAATTTTTCTGTGTTGGTGTTGTGTACTCAGGTGAATAATATGTTTGCGATGTTACTCTGAGTGCATATCCACACCGCGGGCTAGCCCGAAAAACATGCCCGGCCACGGTGGGATTCGAACCTACGACCTTTGGAATACTAGCCCAATGCTCTTCCAACTGAGCTACGCGGTCAGGACGGTTCGAGCATGATTACAGCAATAAACATTTGAAGAATATAAATTCTTTTATGTAGTTTTTTACAAGCTTTCTGATGATGCAAGTTATATTTGTCGTGATTGAATTCAAAATTTCTCATTTTTTTGTAGTAGAATTTAATAGGAAATAATACTAATAGCATCGTAACTCTCTAAAAAAAATAGTTTCACGATGGCCCCACTTTTGCATGTTGTTCTACTCATAAAAAGATGCTCGTACTGTGCACAATTTGGTGCTTTTAACCCGCTTCGGAAACACCATGCACATATCCGCCACACTATTTTATAGGATTTCATTGAAATAAATCCAAAAAATTAAAAAACCAGGCGCCTCCAAGCCCAAGGCTTTATTTACGAATTACGACCGTAATTTTCGTATTGCCGAATACACGTCTAAACCAGAAGTAGTAAAAATGCACGCGTTCTGATTGGCTTAGCGCCAAAACAAATGACCTGTAGCCTCCTCCGCAGGCATCTCAAAACATCAGTTAGGCCTGTTTCAAACGTCGCGCTTCTCATGTGCCGAACGATTAGAAACAATAGATAATGAGGCATTTCAGCTGATTATCTATTGTTTTTAATGCGTTCAGCACATGAGAAGCTCGACGTTTGTAACAGGCCTTATTTGAATAACTAAATTATACAGGGTGTCCCCCAAAAAGTACCCTCTATAGAAATTATCCTATTGTTATAATTTGAATGCCTGAGCACTATGCTGAACACAAGAGTGCGTAAACACAATTTAATTGAATTTTAATTTCATTACCAATCGCATAAAATCCTGTGCTTAACAACAATAGGATAAATTTCTAAAGAGGGTACTTTTTTGGGGTACACCCTGTACAGGATGTCCCCAAAAAACCGAAAACTATTGAAATAACGTATTGTTAGAATTTGAATGCCTCAGCACTCTGCTGAACCCACACGTGCATCAAAGCTTGAAGAAACGGTTAAAGAAACCGTTCAAGAAGCTGAAATTCCCAAGAGCAGAAAATCGTGCGCTTTACAAAGATATTTTAATTTCTTAATAAGTCAATATTTAATATATGCACCCTTGTAAATATTTTACGCACCTATATGCGTTCAGCTTAGTGCTAGGGCATTCAAATTTTAAATTACGTTATTTCAATGGTTTTGCCGGTTTTTTGGGACACCCTGTGCAGGGTGTCCAGAAAAAAGTGACACTATAGAAATTATCTCATTGTTCTTAAGCCGCTCTTAAACGCGCGTGATTACACGCCTGTGAATTTAATGAACTTGTATTTACATTTAAGCATTTTAAAACGTTTTCGCTTTGTCCAAATATCTTAACGCCCGAGTCAAGCAAAACGATTACACTAATAAACGGTTTGCTTTTTTATTTTAAATTCCAGGAGCAGAAGTTTATACACCTGTGGGATCGACTTAGTGCTAGGGCATTCAAATTATAACAATAGGATAATTTCTATAGTGTCACTTTTTTTTGGGACACCCTGTATAAGTTCTCGGGGAGGAGTTCTGATTGGTCGAGAACAATATTCGCCCTTGTTAAACGTTCACTAGTTTCCACTCAGGAGCATTATCCGTGGATTGGAACGAACAAAAACATTTTTCTTTGCCTTGTGAGCTCTGGGTTGGAACTAATGACTTTAACAGAAAGAAAAATGTTCTTGCCCGTTCCAACCACGGACAATGTTCCTGAGTGGAAACTGCTAGCCTTAACGTGCATGCTCCTTAAGAGGTTGCTCCTTTAAAACGTAAACCAAACGTTTGAAAATTCTACAGTATATCATGAGCCTCATGACAAAAACGCGTGTAGCACTGCAATCGCCATTTTGGCGACTGAAAGGCATGCAATTGATGCGTTTCGAATCATTTTCCGTCACGAAACGCTCGCATGAGCAAATGAATCCTTCTACAGCCTTGCCGTTTGATGCCATTCCCGGGCCGACTCCGCTTGAAAATATTGTAAGATACATATGGGGAGGTGTTCGGGATTACCATGTTTTCCTCGAAAAGAACTTCCAAAAATACGGTCCAATTTTCAAGTATGTGATGCCTGGTGTGAATGTGGTTCACGTTTGTGACCCAAATGATATCGAGCGAGTGTTTCGCAATGAAGGATATCCAGCAAGTCGTGGAGACTTACTCAAGTCAGCAACTTACTACCGCGAAAAGGGTCTTCCGACATCATTTAGTGGCCAAGACGAAAGTTGGCATGTTCATCGTTCTGCCTTTGCACCTAAACTCCTTCCACCTCGCGCGCTAAAGCCGTTTTTTGCAGAGCAGTGTAACGTGGCTGATGATACGATTGTAAATTTTAAGGATGGACGAAATCCAGATATTAGTGACCAATTGGCGAAGTTGGCAATGGAAAATATGGCAGTAAAGATATTCGGTGTACGTTTAGGACTTACTGGAGCATCGCCTGACCCGAATGCACGAGAATTTACGGACGCAGTTTTCGGTCACTTCACCGCTCAGTCCAAGTTACTATTTTCAATTCCATTTCACGAGTATTTTAAGACACCGACCTTAAAAGAGCTTCATCGTTGTCTTGACAAAGAATTTGAAATGACGGACCATTTTATTAAGAATGCAAGTCAAATGCGCACGCCATTGCCGGCATTGGCGAGTAAATGTCTCGTGCACAGACTTGCTGAAGAGGACAAGATTTCCCCAGAGGAAATCTTTATAATCAGTGAAAGTGCTCTCTCGGGAGGTGTTCACACAACATTCAGTTCCTTGATTATACTGCTGCACGCTCTCGGTAAACAGCCTGAAGCTCAACAAAAGATTTACGATGAAATACAGCGCGTTCTACAAGGAAAATAACAGCCGACGTACAAGCAGTTTCTTAACATGCCTTATGTTAAAGCCTTCATGAAAGAAGTCTTTAGAATACATCCAAGCCCATTGGGCAATGTACGTGTCCTCGCGAAACCTATTCTCCTTAGTGGGTATCATATTCCAGCTGGGGTTCTGATTATTCTTTCGGCGGTAGCGACAGAATCCATTCAAGAGAAGTCCTATGGACCCGACTTCGCAACGTTTGCTCCCAAGCGTTGGCTTCGCAGTTCAACTAGAAGTATCCATCCTTTCGCATCACTTCCTTTCGGCTTCGGGCCTCGCATGTGCATTGGCAAACGATTTGCCGAAATGGAAATGGCCGTTTTTCTCATCCGCTTGTTGCAGAATTACGAGGTAGTGGACAGCAAGCTTAAAGAAGACCAAGTAGAATGGTATTTCAACGTCGTCCATACTCCAACCAAACCATATAACTTAAACTTAAAGAATAGGGTTTAATCAGACGACTATCTGCCTAGACAGGTTTAATTTTTGTTCGTGTGTAGAAATTCTGCTTGGACCTTGTCCTTGGTGATAATGAATGATAATGAAATGATACCACACAGATACAATATAATAAACGAATACTTTATTAATAAATTGAACTAACTTGATGTGTATTAATTATATTTATTGTTTTTGCGTCTAGCGAAATCTAATATCCTTTTTCACTTCAGTTCACCCTGATGGCCTGACATGGCCGGTTTCCATTGCAGTCGCTTTGCCCGCACGGTTTGAAAATCTGCTCACGCGGGCGTGTCGGGCGTCAAAAACAATGAACGCTTCGCCCGTGCGGGTAAAGCGAACGTTATTATTATTATTATTATTATTATTATTATTATTATTATTATTATTATTATTATTATTTAAAAATATTTTAAAATATTTTAAAATATTTTAAAATATTTTAAAATATTTTAAAATATTTTAAAATATATAAAAATATTTAAAAACGGTAGTCCTTCAGGGCACATAGGCACCTGCTTTTCAAGGAGCCGTTTGCAAACTACTTAATTAACAATACAAATATAAATTAATTTACAACTATTACACTACCTATATTACTAATTATATAGATTACTAATTACAAGAATGCATCAGCTGCGTTTTGTTCCTTAGGTAAACTTGGTAAGCTGTTCCATAAGGACGCAGCCGAGTAACCAGTACTTTTTTTCATAAAATTTGTTACTGGCTTTCCAAGGGAGAAGTTTATAATATTACTACGCAATTGATACACTTGGTTCTCTTTGATTTTAAACATTTCTATTACTGATTGTGGCATGATGTTATTTTTTATTTTGTGCATAAAAATACATTTGTTTCTCTTTAGTCGTTCACTTAAGGGCTGCCAATTTAGCTCTTTTAAAACATCTTTAGATCTGGTTTCATATGTTCTGCACGTAATCACTCTCGCAGTCCTATTTTGTGAATTTTTGAAGTTTGTTTAACAGATAATCAGAACAATTACGGCAAACAAGACTGCAATAATCAAAATGTGACAGCACAATAGCATTGAATATTTTAACAAAGTCGATTGGGGAACAAATTTCTTTATTCTCCGAATCATTCCTATACCTTTTGAACATTTTGAAACAATACTTTGTATTTGGTCGTTCCACGAGAGGTGCTCATCAACAATGACCCCCATGTTTTAGATTTTTTGACTCGCTTTATTGTTGAGTCACCAAGTTTGACTATAGGATCTGTTAAAATATTAGAAATGCGTTGTCGTGAGCCAACAATCATGTATTCAGTTTTCTTTTTATTAAGAGTGAGTTTCAGTGGTGTAGTGGAGGGGGGCTCAGCCCCCTGAGCACCCCTTGTTAAAATTTCATGTTGACTTGGGGGGGGGGAGGGGCTGAGCCTCCCCCTCCCTATAATTTTTGAATAATTTTAAACGAGAATGCATCTAATTCTTTAGAATTGCATCTACAAAAAGCGGTACAGAAACCTTGAATTACATACCCTTTTGAGAGGCTCAGAATATTTTATATTACTAACAGCAATTGTTTTTAATAAGCATAATTTTAATGTTTGTCCAACAATTATTAGAAGAAAAAAAACCAACAAAATTTAGAATTTCCAAAATATCATATTGTAACCCCCGCCAGTTCAGGACACTTTTGGAGAACAGGGACGAAACTACCCTGGTATCTATGTGTGTGGTGTGTGTGTGGGGGGGTGACACCCCCTGTTTCTATCCCATCGGGTATACCCATACAATTTAGTCGGGCAAATTTTGAAAATATTTGAGTGTCTCAGATTGAAAAGTAATAGTGGTAGGAAAAAGTGGTAGTGAAAAATGCTCCGCTCACCGACAATTTTGGGAAAAGAAATATTAATTAGCGACTCATCAAATGTTCGTCCCTCAGGAACGACTTCAGAAACGCCCTTGCGGTCGGGCTTGTCTATTATTTCTATGGCCAAAACCTACAGTAGGGAGAAGATTGATTTTCATCTTAAGATAATTAGGCAAGGCAAGCTTGTGGGCAATACTCTCTCGTTTCTCACAATAGTGTACTTCAATGGCATAGTGGAACTTTGCAAAATTGAAAATCCATATGGCTGACTAATGTAAAACTTCAATTAAATAATATTTTTCAATACATGCCTGGATTTATTTAATACATGCCCAAATTCGAATGTCGTTAATACAATGATAATATTTCTTATCAATGATGAGAAAACCACAGGACTATTCCAATTGGAAAATGCTTTAAGGAGCTGCAACCCCCAATTGTGTTGTAGCAAATGGAAGTTCTAGTATAGATGAGAGTCTCCCAGAGGTTTCTAGGGAACACGGGGAACAAGGCAAATCAGTTGCAATGGGAACACGGAAACAAAGCTAATAACTCATAGGGAACAAGGAAACATGTAAGCTTGGGGAAGAAGGGAACATTTTAATTTTGGGGGGGGGAACAAAGGAACAAAGGAAAACTTTAATTTCAAGTGACCCCCCCCTCTCCCGTTTCCTACCTGGCTTAACAAGGATATTTTAATTTTTATAAACCTACCACACCCATTTTCTATTGTTCTCGGTCGGTTTTGATTTCCGACTAAAGACCAGCTTCTGAAGGCTAAGCTGAAAATGTAAAACCCGGTACCGGGTCTTAATACATTCAAATGTAAGACCCGTACCGGGTTTTACATTTTCAATTGAAGACCTGGCATAAGTCTTGAATTCGGGACTTGAATTTGCAACAAAACTCAAACCACACATCTCCTTTTCGACTAGAAAACGCTACACGTCTCTGAGTCGAGACTCGAGAAAGAGACAACAGCCGTGTATACCTCAGAGCCCGTCAAACTCTACCATTAGGTAAGAGTATTTTTATTAAAAGCCCACATAGTGAATATCACTAAGGGGAATAAAAACTATTTTACACACAATTTACATTAGATTACGTTAAAATATTTACATTAGGTCACACTAATATTGACCTCTAGAGCAAAGTTCGTTGTTTAAACACCATTTTGACTCTAACGTTTTCTGTGTCCATGATACACTGTTTTGTTTCCAATCGATTTCGTACGTAATACACCCTTCCGGAAAGTACGTCACTTTGGCTATAGAGCCTCGTTTTCGTGTGTCTGACATCAGTTAAAGTCCGCGTCTCAATCACTTAAACGAGGCTCTATAGCCAAAGTGACGTACTTTCCGGAAGCGTGTATTCTTAAAATACATAAGACTGTTAATGGACCAATCCCCAATTAACTAAAATTTTGATCTCAACAAGTCTAGACAAAATTCTATCACAGCATGAAAGAGCATCACAAAATTAGTAATATTGCAACGTTTCGTTGCGAAATGTTGTAAAATGCCGATAATATAGCCTTGCGAAATATGCAATTTTCAGTCATTTTTTATTACGAGCGGGAAACGGTTACCACTTCTCCAAAATTTTCATCTCAGCTTGAAAGAGCATCACAAAATTAGTAATATTCCAAAGTTTCGTTGCAAAATGTTGTAAAATGCGGATAATATAGCCATGCGAAGTTTGTAATTTTCAGTCATTTTGTATTGCGCACAGAAGTGGTAACCATTTCCCGTTTGTAATCCAAAATGACTGGATTTCGTAAAGCTATATTATCCGCATTTTACAACATTTCGCAACGAAACTTTGGAATATTGCTAATTTTGTGATGCTCTTTCAAGCTGTGATGAAAATTTTGTCTAGACTTGTTGAGTTCAAAATTTTGATTAATATGGGATTGGTCCATTTTCTCATCCTTCTTAAACTGATATCGATATGACACTCGTTCTTTCCACGCGGAAAATTTTCCAACACTGATTAAGTAACGCAGAAGATCTCTTGTTCTTGTTCGCGGGAAACAACCCAACAACATATTCCGTTCTGAAAGACCAAGGACTGATGCATCAATTCGATTGCACAATTTCAAAATAAACATCCACATCTCTTTTACCATGCATTGGACAGTGAATCAACGTGTGTTCTAACGTTAATTCCACTCTTTCACCACACCGTGCACATGGTGAGGATATTCGTGAATACCATTTATGCACTCTGAAGTTGACTGGTAAAACCCGATGTACCGTGCGCCAATCAAAATCACGTAACAGTGGATCATTGAAACTTCCAGCGACATCCTTCCAAATCTCTTTCCAGATTAAACCAGGATCAAATCTTTGATTCCAAGCCAACTCGCTTCTGACTTGTACCGGGGTAACGCAATCTTCTAGACGTTTTAGGTAATACATTTTGCTCGTGCAAGGTTGTCCCAAATCAACAGCACATTCTCTATCGCAGACTAGAAGATGACTATAAAACGGAGTTGGAATGTCACTATTTGGTCTCGAGTTATCATTTATGCCTAAAGCCCGTCCGATGTAATAACGCATGAAATCTTTCCAAGGTGCCTCACTCTCTTCAAAAAATCGGAAGACACGATCAATCAACATTGCTTTGCTTCTGATGTCAAGATTAATAATTCGCAGACCCCCGTTTGAATAGTCCAACATACACGTTTCGCGACGCACTCACTCCGGTTTCCTTGACCAAACGAATTTCCAAATTTCCGATTGTAGCGAGTCAATACGTTCACACGTAAGCGGGTATATCTTTACCAAAACTGTCTGTACCAGTGTAGGTAGTACCAATGTGAAAATGTTGTGCTGAGTGGTTATATTACTACCTTAAAAGATAAGCAGAAACTCGACGTTTCGAGCGAAGGCCCTTTGGCGTCAAGAGTTATATCTTTACCACAGAGCCCTTCGTCAAGAGTTATATCTTTACCACATGCCCAAGCGTCGAAGCCACCAAACTCCCAATCACCGTCATCTTCCCTCGTAACGTCAGATACAGTGATTCCCATTTCCTCAATATTCCCTTGAATTTGGCTGTAATCTCTTCCCATGATTGGATCTTTGCATTTCGGAACCATAGTAAATACCAACATTTTTTAGGCTCGTGTTAACCCACTTAGTCCACAGGATGAATCAGTACGAGAACTCCACGGTCTACACCTACCGAGCCAAACACCCTTCGATTTCGTTGTATTAAGCCTCGTTCCAGATGCTCGACCATAGTCATTATTAAAGACATCAATTTATTATATAAACATAAGTGTTATATAGAGTTTTTGGCCACTGAGAAAAATCGTATTTAAACACACGTAAAAAATATGATATTTTTACGTGTGAAAATATCATTTGTTGTAAAACGCATTGCCACGGACGTTTTATTGTTTTTGAAAGACTGTCCTTTATATAATAAACAAAAAAATACATGGGCGCTTGGAAATACCAGATTAATTTCTCGTGTTGAACATGATAACTCACTCGTTCGCTGCGCTCACTCGTGAGATATCATGTTCAACACTCGAAATAAATCTGGTATTTCCGCGCACCCATGTATTATTCTCTATTACTTTAACAAGACCATACGAATTAGTGACAATACAGGTGTTGTCATCGGCATATTTGTATCAGCCCTGTATTTCTGGGCATTTTCGAATCTCTTGTCCAAACACTTCTGCAACCATGACAAACAACTTACAATGGAGATAGCGGGCACCCTTGTCGCTCACCTCGTTCCACGTGAAAAAACTCTGAAACATAACGATTGGATATTATAGTACTACGAATGTCATGATAAATACTTTTAATGTAGGATCGAAATTGCAGACCAAAGTTCATAATTCCTAAAATTTTGTCTAAAAAGTCCCAGTCAACTATTCAAACGCTTTTTCTTGATCGATCGATATAAAGGCGCAGGCCATTCGTTCATTAACTTCCAGATAGTCACGTAGGAGAGTCGCATTATCTTCACTCGAACGCCCAGGGACAGAACAGCATTGATCCGGGTGAATTATCGTGGGCATAACATGTTTAACACGATTTACCAGAACTTTTGTAATAATCTTGTAATCCGTATTGAAGAGCGAGATTGGGCGCCAATTTTTCAATTTTTATAAGGATCTTCTTTCTTAAACAACAGTGATATTAATGCTTTGCGCATGGACTCAGGTATCAGTCCAACTAAAAAGCAATAATTTGCCATTTCAACAAAGTCTTCTTTTAGCAGGTCCCAAAAGGTCAGGTAAAATTATTTCGGTCGACCGTCTGAGCCCGGTGTTTTGCCATATGATATGGACTTTACAGCAACCAAACATTCACCCTCCGTTACCTGTCCCCCGCATGAATCGCGTTGCTCACCTGTTAGTTTCCTGTCAAGTAAGTTTAACAATTGATCTTGGGCAACTTTGTCTGTCGGCACTTTCGAATAAAGTTCCTTATAGAATCGAACCTGTTCCTTTGAGATATCATCCTGCCCAGTCACTCTTCGCACATCGTTCGTGCGTAGAGCATGACATGTTTTCTTAACCGCTTTCTTTTCTCCTTTTGGAAGAAAAAGCGCGATGGCTGTTCGTTTGATTCGAGCCATTTTGCTCCGCTTCGGATATTGTTTCCTTGAATATGCTTTAAATCCATAGTTTCCAATTGGGACTTAACTAAGTCTAGTTCTTTGACTTCATCCTCCGATGAGTTTGTTTTACACACAATGCGACGATATCGACTAAGTACTGTCGCACGTTCTCGCTTTCGAGATTCTTTTTGACTATACTTTAGAAGAAGAGTTTTAACTCTTACCGATTTAACTCTTTCCGATCTTTCCAATGGGCCCAAAATAAAGAGAATTTCTCGCGAACTTCTTGCTCTTTTAATAATGAGACATTTAACTTCCACACACCGGGACCAACAATACTGCTAGTTTTGTCTACCGTTAACAAGACGCGAACGAAATCATGATCAGAATATGGATATAGCATTAAGTCCGTTTCGACGTCATAATTCTTTGCAAGTGATGAAGAAAAATAAAATCTGTCCAAACGACATTTAATTCTACCACGATCATTTGGGTGCTGCTTACGCCAAATGTCAATTAAATCAAATCGCTGTATTAGTTTCTTTAGATGTAAGGCACCAGTATCTCCTTAAGCTGAATTTCCGCCATATTTATCCTTGTCCAAGTCTAACATGCAATTAAAATCACCTCCAGTATTTTGGCCGTCTACGAGAGACGAAATGTCTATCAAGACTTTGAAAAAATTCTATGCGCTTAGTCCCATCAGTAAGGGCATATAAATTAATAAATCTCAAGTCCTGACTATTGAATGTACAATTCAAAGAAATGATACGTCCAGCAGCATCACAACGAAAAGTACAGTGTTTGAATCTTTCGGGATCACGGAGTAATATTCCAACACCACAACTATTTGTCAAGCCAAGACTCCAATACCCTTTCAGTCCCGACTCCTTGTTCCATTTTACACAATCTTCAACGGTTGCGATATGCGTTTCTTGAAGAAATATAATATCAAATTTTTCATATTTTATAAAGTCAAACAGCAAACAACGCTTCCGATAATCTCTAAGTCCATTAATATTTAAAGATACTACGCTCATTTCCGCCATTGTTCTTTAGTGCTTATTTTTTCCCCTCTTCTTCTTTTTCCCCTTATCCGTCTTTTTTGTCTTATCTTCAGGTGAGCCTCCCATATCACTGACACATTGGTCAGTGGGATCCTCAGGAACCGAAACGCCCTCTTCAGGTATGGAAACGTTCTCTTCTGCTTTCCGTTTGTTGTTCTCGACTGTTTGGACAGTTCCTTGTTCTGTTGGATGATGTTGGCTGGCGGTGTTGGTTATCCCGAGCATGACTGCATCTCTGATGCCGCCTGGATCCTTACAACTTGTCGATTCCGCACGGTCCATATCTTCATCACTCGACCGGTAAACGTCACTACCGTCCTCATCATGACCGATATCATTACTCAAGTTGTTCTCCGACGATTGATCATCTCTGTCATCGGACGCTTGACGTCGATTCTCTAGACAAGTTGCTCTGATTTGCCCAAACTGGCCACATTTACATCATTCGAACACGTGGCAATAAGATATTCATATTCGCCACATCTGCTACATAATGGCACTTGCCCACGGTATCTAGTTTCTATCGGATAATGGCCAATAAAGAGACGACGGGGAATCCCCTACACCAGTTTCGACATTAGGCCAATCACGATACATTTCTCGTTCCACTTTCACTATTTTTCCATACTTCTCCAACGTTGCAGCTATCGTTTGATTAGAAATATCATTAGGGGCATACAAAACTTTAACCATTAGCGTGGGCATATAAAGTTCTTGAGCAATAACTCGTTCACCCCGCAAATGAAACGGTATGCAACACAACAGAGCCAAGTCTAGCAACCCTAGCTCCAAACCGAGCATGTGGTTCCTTGACTTAAATTCTGCGAACCAACAATATCTGCTCACGATCTTCCAGCCGTTTACACTTCTTCCCCCGCTCTTTCAATCACGATTTCCTGGCTCCGTTCGCCACCATCAGCCGTGCTTTCGTCACCGCCAGGACTTCGTCTATCGCTCGTCGCCGTCAGGTCCTTCTTCTTCGTCTCCAACCTTCCTTACTTTGTCACCAACTCTTCCTTCTTCATCACCAACTTCGATATCCATTCCTTTAAATGTAACAGTAATATCTGCTTTTTTGTTTGTGGGACGTGAAATGATATACTGCAAATGCTTAACCACATTAAAGCGTATGTAATGCGCATGTTACACCTTATTCCGTCCCACAACCGCAATTTCCCGAGGCCAATAGAAAATGGGTGTGATAGGTATATAAACAACATAAAAACCTCATGGTCGGTCTTTCATTGAAATTCAAGACCTAAAGGTCTCCTTTGTTTTTGAGACACCATGTACATCCCTTGAACAAAAATTGTAAAGAAACCTACCTGTGGAAATGCAACCTTAGATGTAATATTTACTAATATGACGCTGTGTTGTAATAATCCTGAAATACTTCCTGCAATTGGTCAATCGGATCACATATTCATGTCAATTCTGTTCAATAATATCTGCTGAGTAGCCACCGACGCCCCTAATACTGCGGAAACCATCTCAATTGGAATGTACTTACTTACATATCCTCTTGTCAAAAAATGTGCGACTTGTTTTATGACATTCTCATGGGACTGGATACAATTCATCCCAAAAAGCTGTTAAACTCCACTGTAGAGACAAAGCGTGGGTCACTCCTGAAATCTCGCAAAGCTTTTGCCTTGGGAAACACAACCGAATACAACAAAATAATAACAACCTTGGGAAACACAACCGAATACAACAAAATAAAGTAATTCACTGAATCAGGCCAAGTCTAAGCACTTCAAGTCTCGATCAGGTGAATCATTTAAAAAAAACTCAAGGTCCAGGAAATGGTGGAATGCTATTAAAAATCTAGCAGAGGTCGAGGGAACTATCTTGCAGGGAAAGGGATTGGCGCTCGCTGTTAATTAATTAATGACTTTTTTTAGCCTCTACTGAATCGAATCAAAGAGACTTTTCTTTCTCTCATGAGTAGTCAATCGCAGCGGCCTTGGGGAGACTTCTCTTATTCAAGCTTATACTACACGTATTCGGTCTGTGCTTAAATATGCATGTCAGGTTTGGAATTTCAACTCTCCTGACTATTTAAAGGAAGAGACTGAAAGAATACAGAAACGAGCCTTACGTATAACCTCATACCGCACAGTTTTAGAAGTCAATGACATATCGCGGTTACTTTCTCAGAGAAGAAATAATTTATGTAAGTCATATTTCAAGAAACTTCTTAATCCAGAACATAAGTTGAACAGTCTTATCCCTGATAGACATGAACATTTACGCAGTTATACCCTACGCATGAGGGAGTTTTCTAATATCTTAGAATCGGTTATTTTATTGAAGGAGTGCTGACTCGTCCTTGGGGATTTTAACATTCATGTTGGTGACACTGATGCTATGAAGTTCCTTGATTTGTTGGAATCACTTGGACTTGAGCAGCACGTTACTCGACCGACTCATATCCATGGTCATATCCTGGATCTTATTATCACACGCAAAAGGGACTCACTCATAAGGTCGCCGCGGTAGCTAGCAGATTCGTATAGCGAGGTCTGTGACCCAAACTAGAATAGCCACTTATAATGACAGGAAAACTAAGGCTGTGGATCTTCACTGCCTTAGGCAGGATTTGGTGGTGTCAGATTTGTGCAAGCGAGAACACGGTCAGTTGTACATGTTGGTATTTGTTGTACACACAAACAAACTGTAAAAATCAAATTTAATTAAAAACAATTTCAACAAACTAATTTTAATTTTTTAACAAACTGGACAAATTAAATTTAAAAACGTTATCTCCTCTGAAAGGACGCTTTTGTCGTAATATATTTTCACTTTTTGCGTCATTTCTCCTTTCTATTTTCTTTCTTTTCAACATACAATCGCTGTACTCGCGCCAGTCCGTCCTGCCATATCGCACATGGATCGCTTATATGAGCGTATACCCAGCGCGCTTATATGTGCGTAGGTTATGAAACTAAATCGTTCATTGTTTATAACATATAAACTTAATTAACGCCTATAAAAGTAACCTTTTCTTTGTGAGGATTTCGATATAAAGTCTGCTGTTAACTGTTTTATGTTTACATCATCCATTCTTTCCTTATGAATACCTTAGCCATGTCTTAAAACGTCTCATGGCACTGAATGTGCGTTCCGCAGTTGCAGATGACGTAGCATATGTTTACAGGAGCAGCAACAGCTTATGCGTTTCCGGAAGTGATGCTTTTGAGACAGCCTTCGCATTCAATATGTCTTGAATAGTCGAAACAGAAGTTACTTTCTTAATGACAGGCATTGAGCATGCCAGCTTCAATTCCATGTTGTACAAATTGATATGGACATGTAACTCTTTCAATTCTTCAATCAAAAGATCCACACGTTTGGGAGAGATACCAACAACCACATACAGGTCTTCACATAGTGACTGAGCATTCTCCAAGGCTGGGCAATGTTTCGGGTGGCATCTCAGTTCTTCGCAATGTGCTAAGCAGCGAATGAAAATGGCTGATTCATTCATTTCACTTTTGACTTTCTTCGCCAGAGATTTCATTGCCATTGCACCATCAAATGTCATTCCAACTAATCTGCTCGCATCCAGTTGACACCTTATCAAGATATCCTTGATGTATTCAAACAGAGCATCTGTTTTCACACCCTCCCTGCATTCATAAATGCCAATAAGGCCTTCCTTTACTTCATCATCGTTAGTACAGTACCGTTTTGATAAGGACATGTGTTCCGACTTTGAGATGTCTGTGGCCTCATCTATACTATTATTCCATAGTATTTGACGCTCTGGAGCTCTACGTTACGTTTTTCCTTGCCGCAAGCACAAGCATTTCCCGTTGCTCTTCGAGCAAGCTGTGAGACATAAATCTGTTCTCAGTTATTAATAGTTTTAGCCCAGGGATATATTGACCTTTGTAGATATTTCCTTCTTCATCTATCTTACGTCGAAGGGCCAAACCTTGACGAAGTAGTGTCTTAAGTGTTCCAAAATGAGCTTCTAGGCCCTCTTCTCTAGGCCGTATTGCACTCTTCCTACATTTTTCATCACTTAGAAGCTGAGGTATCTTTTCTTGTAGACTTTTATTCTTCTTACACTACCTATGATAATCAGATAACTGGTGCATGTGAAAGCGTTCTGAACCTTTGTTCCACGATGTTTCGTCTTTGTAAATGAAATTTGCTCTGGAATCTTCATTTCCTCTCAGTTGATTTGATGAACAACCCACTTAAATCTATTCGTTTTAAATCTTTTGTGCACCCGTTGCACCCATAGTCTGCACCCAAAAAGTTATGAATACAAACGAACAGACTTTTAAACTTTATAACATGCAACTGAATATTAATGTTGGTTAATTGTACACACGTAAAAACGCACAAGTTGTAACAAACCTGCAGCAGACTTGTAGCAATGTTGTTCCAACAGGATGTGTTCGCACTGCTTGTTCCCAGCTTGTTGACAAGTTGTCAACGGCTTGTCGACAACTTGCTACAAGATTGTTGAGCTCAACAGACTTGTTACAAGTTGTTCCAACAACTTGTTATCGTCCTGCAATTCAACAAGTTGTCAACAAGTTGTGAGTGACAACCTTGTAGCAACTTGATGAAATAACAGCATTGTTACAACTTGTTGACAAGCTTGCTACACGCCTGTTGCGAACACATCTTGTTGACAAATTGTGAGATTTGTACGTGTGTTTATATTTAATATCTTGTTGATAATGTAAACTTGTAATTCAGCTTTTGTTGCAAAGAGTTCTTTGAATACACCTTCATAATAAAAAATAAATAATCTTCGGAGAGATGAACCATGGCCATGGGCGACAGTAACCATGATATCGCACGCCAGTTAATAGCTACAGTATACACCTGAGCTTACACATAGTTGCCTCTAGCGCTGCACTAATTACGTACATTAAGTAACTGTAATATCTGTAAACTTTATTTATTTTCAACGCACTCAATACAGTAATGTTACATTCCCCCTAGGGCTATGGTCTAACGAGATGACATGTTCACTACATTACCTATAGCAAGTTCATTCATTTTGCATTGTAGTCACTGTAACGTTATATATTTTATTTATCTTATGCCGTATAAACTACATTTAACTTTACTTGATAACTCAACTATACTCAGTCCTTCTTCAACGTTCCTTGGACGTCCCATGTGCTCGCATGCATGAGTCACGTGATATCCTTACATTCCGCATACAATAAGAAAGTTAATATTAATCAACAGTTTGAACACCGTCTACTCTCATGAGATAAAGTCAACTTTAAAATTGAAGTCTTATAACAACTACTAAGTTCTTCTTAAGTCCTAACATGCTTTACTTATCTGTTAAGTGTATTGTTCATATCTACGAGGTTTCTTTATTGTTCTACCATATCTTGATCTGTCTCTTGATACTTCATTCGAGGGTAACGACTTTGTCTCGACTTGTTTCTCCGCTCGTTTCGTTGTGCCCCGAGGTAATTTTTCTCAATTGTTTCCTGTTTCGTCTGTATTGAACTTTGTCCTTGGTTTCCACTGTGTACGAACGAATTGCAATCTTTTCTTTCACCGTTGCCTTTTCTCCCCACATCAACTTCTTTTGGTCGTAGATTCTCACCATCTCACCTTGCTTCAGTGGTGGCAAAGGTTTGGCTTCTCTGTCATGATAAGCCTTCTGGATTTCTTTTTTCTTTGTTTTCCATGCAACAACTGCTTTGGAATCTTTAACATTGAGCTGGTTTTCTACAACTGGAAGATCTGTTTTAAGTGTTCTTCCCATCAGTAACTCAGCTGGTGATTTATGGTTGTCAAGTGGTGTTGATCTATATGCTAACAGTCCGAGATACGGGTCTGTTCCGCTTTCAATTGATTTGCTTATAATATTCTTTACTGTCTGGACAGCCTTCTCGACTAACCCATTAGAGGACGGGAAATGAGGACTACTGGTAACATGTTTAAATCCCCATTTGGTCTTGAAATCAGCAAACTCTTGACTACTGTAACATGGTCCATTGTCACTATGAACAATATCAGGAATGCCATGTCTGGCGAAAGTTACTTTCATACCTTTAATCACAGCTTTACTGCTTTGGCTTGATAGAGGTATCACTTCCGGATAGCTGGAATATGCATCCACAATGACAAGATATTCTTTCTTGTTGATTTCACAGAGATCTGTGCCGACCACTTGCCAGGGACGGGTTGGAACTGGATATGGCTTTAATGGTTCTTTCTGGTGGTTATGCTGGTGATGTTGGCATGTCTCGCAACTCTCAACTATGTTATCAATGTCACTGTTGATTCCAGGCCAGAATACTACTTGTCTGGCACGTTGCTTGCATTTCTCTCTGCCCTGATGACCAGCATGAATTTTTATTAGGATTTCTTTTCTCATCTTTGTTGGAATTACAATCTTTGAACCTTTTAGTATCAGCCCTTGGTGTACCGATAATTCATCTCTAATGTTCCAATAAGCATGAAGTTCGTTAGAAGTATTGGATCTTTCATTGGGCCAACCTTGCATGATAGTATTTTGAAGTGATATCATTGTTTTGTCCTTTTAGGTTTCCTCTTTAATCTCTTTTAGTTTCTCATCTGTGACTTGTAGCACTGCTATGATTCCATCAACATGAGCTTCAATATGGTGGTCTGACTTACTTGCCAGCTTCAGGGGTGCTCTGGATAATGCATCTGGTGTATGCATCCACTTACCAGGAACGTACGAGAGTTTGAAATCATATTTCTGTAATCGTAATCTCAACCGCTGTATTCGTGGCGGGCTATCAATTAGTGATTTTTTGAAAATTGACACTAATGGTTTGTGGTCTGTCTCTATTTCGAATTCTTGACCGTATATGTACTGGTGGAATCTTTCACAAGAAAATGTCATGCCTAGTGTCTCAAGTTCAATTGTTGCATATCTGCTCTCACAATCTGTAACTGACCTCGAAGCATATGCTACTGGAAGCCAATTTTCACCATGTAGCTGCTGCAGTACTGCTCCTAAGCCACTCCTACTTGCATCGGTTGAAATCTTTATGGGCTTGTTTGGATCGTAGAACTTTAACACAGGTTCGCTTGAAACAAGTTCCTTCAATTCTTTCCATGCTTTCTCTTGCTCATTGTCCCACATCCACAACACCTTCTGGTCTAACAACTTTCTTAATGGCATTGTTCTAGTGGATAA